ATAGTTACTAAATAAGTAATAAAAGATTATTTAAGTAAATTAATTGGTCAGATTGGGCTATCCATTCAAAGTTTAATAAAATAAATTGGACTACCCACAAAATTCTCCCAAAATTTTGACTAAAGAAAGAAAACTAGACGGAAGGAAAAAAGGTTCGTGACAAAGAAAAAAAAGATGGAAGGAAAAAGGTTGATGATGTGGCTCCCATGAGGTGGGGTGGATCGATATACCCAATGGTAGGCCACGTGACACCTCGTGGTGGTTTCAGTAAAAGTGCACCAATGGGACACTCCTTGCCACGTGACAAGTGGGATCAAAGGACAGAGGCATGGACCAACCCTAAACCCCATTTCCTGTCTGGTCTCTTTTACCTTTTCTTCTATTTTATAATAACGTAATATCAGTTTCATCTCCCACTATTTAATTTTACAACTCAATATTTTTGTCTCTTTTTGTTTTCACTTTCTTTGGACAGTTTTCATCTGACAAGAGAGAAATAGAGTACGTGTGTGGGCTATTTTAGAATTTTAAAACAACTAAAACCTTGATAGATAAAGCTAACGACAACATTGTGAAATCTCCAGGGAATATTTTAATATTTTTTTATTGAATGGTTAACGACTCTTAGCAAAATAAGTCGTTCAATGGTGTATTCCTTCTAGAAGTTCTTAGAAAAAAAAAGTTTTTTTTTTGTTAAACATAAAAAATCCGAAATTTTATTAATTACATTGACCGGTTTAATAACATCTATTTAAATAATGCAAAATTTTATGTTTGTTTGCAAACGTAGCAAAACTCGACTTTAAAAGATTATGAATTTGACATGTATAAGAGATCGAGTTTGGAATGTATGAATTTAGTCATGATCGAGTTTAGATTTAGTAGACAACAATCTGAAGACTTAAAAACAATATTAAGATGAAGACGTAGGTTTAAAAACAACTTGAAACAACAGAGCAACAAGAGAACAACAACTACTACTTAGACGGACATGTACAAGAGTACATGAATCAAGAGACCAACATGGAACACCAACAAATGAAGAAGAACGTGAAAAAAATCATTTGACCATGAGAAATACATAAGATAGAAGAGACTTAAACCTTGTTCTTGATTAGTTAGTAGGAAAAACATAATACATTACAAGTCTTTCATTACAAGTCTAGGAGAAGCAGAGTACAAACCAAGTAGCTTACAAGAGTGATGAAAAGGAAACAAAGCAAATGATCTAGCTAAATAGAAGTGAAGTTAGACAGCAGAACCCGTGAAGAAGATCACATGTCCTACAGGGGAAACAACTTGCACTTGTCCAATTGCAACCGTGAGTGAACCTGCAACAACAAAACATACTCAGAAACAGAAAACAATAAGAAAATAACAAGAGATATAGGAAGTCATGTCCTAGTCAGAAGAAAAACAACAAAAACATGCATCATTTAGTCAGAAGCAAAGCAACAGAAACATGCATCATTTAGTACCAAACAGATAGAGATAGTACATTCATTACAACCTTAGGCAGTACGACCGGTGAAACAAAGAAACGAGGAAGTTGAACCAGAAGCAATGTGACCTGCAGAACAAGAAAAAACAAGCAAGTTAAACCAGAAGCAATGTCGTAAAAGAAAGAACAAGCAAGTTAAAGACAAAACAAGCAAGTCAACTCCAACACAAAAGACTCACCACTCTTTCTGCTCAAGTGTTTTCTCAGTATTTTAGAACACTCTTTGCTTTCCGGACATATACACATCAATGGAGAAGTTTTCCCATCTCCAACCACATTGAACACAAATAAGTCTCCTATGCCGCATTTGTTATCAAAACAGAACTTTCTCCAGTCTCTTCTGATGTAATACATGCCATCTGATTCGCTAAATCGCAAATTCACAGTCCATGAATTTTCCTCTTTGTTCACTAGTATCATCTCTTGGCATTGTTTGTTCAAAGTAGTAGAACGCGTAGCTGCCACAGAAAGATGTTGCAAACACAGAATGTAATGACCCATAACAGATCACAAGTTTGTCTTCTTTTAGAATTGAAATAGAGACACAAACATAAACGACTCACAAGTTTGTCTTCTTTTAGATTTGAAGCAGTGACCTCAGCTAAAAAACAGTAGTTGAATGAGCAAGAAGACATTGTCCATGTTCCTCCTGAAACATAAGAATCAATTTTCCACGTCAAAAACATCTCACAAGTTTGCTATGCTATTATGGTGAACTTTGATTGAAACTTACTAATCTTGTGGTGATGCTCATTGTCATCAGCATCACCCGCAGCATCGTCCGCGTCGGCTTCTTCCTTGATGATGTGAGGATGTGTATACTGAATCTCACAACAGCTAGGACCAAAAGGAGTGACATGAAACACCATGTCTCCTTCGTGTTTGAACATGACAAGGCCACTTATTCAAAGGTCATGTGCTGTGGTGAAATCTTTCAAACCTCTGGTGAGTCTCTTGCCTTCATGTATCACTTCCTAAGTGTTATCTGAAGCATCCGATCTTAGTTTCCATGTTTTATGGTTCATCTTCCCTTCTATGTGCTTTGAGAAGAAGCCAAGTGGTATTGTCTGCAAGTCAGAAAAAGCAAAATTAAGAAAAACTCAAAATTAGGAACATATACAGAGGAGAAATAGAGAAAGTGTGTATACCACGCCACTGTGGAAACTAGGAAGCAGAGGCTTGAAGAAATGAGGTTCATGCGGATTCGCCATCTACAAACAAGCTGAGTACAAACAAATGAATCCCCAAATCAATTGAAACACAAACCGTTTTGAAACCCTAACTACAGATTAAAGAATCCCCAAATCGATTGAAACCCCCAATCATTTCTAAACCCTAACTTCGAACGGTAAGATCCCCAAATCGATTGAAAACGTAAATCCTAACCTGAAAATGTGAAGAAAACAACATGCAAACGATTTGGAATCTATTAATCAAGCAAGGACCCTTCGATTTACCTTGTAAATCAGAAGAGAGCAAATCGCCTTTCTCGCAAACACAAACTTTTTTTTTCTCGTGTAGAGTAGAAAATGACACGTTATCATCCCCCTCTCGAAACAACTCGCGAAACCGACCCTCCCTCACTGCCATGTCAACAAGGACTGAATCCTTAAAGTCCTTAACGATGGATCAATCCTTAAGTTAATGACACTTTTTATTAAATTTTTTATTCTTCATTACCTATGTTCTCTCGCTATGGATTCATTAAGGATCTTAGTTGCAAGTACTCTGAGATACTAGCAACAGTATATGCTACAGAAATAGTATGTCATAATTTTTTTTTTTTTGAACTGATGTCATAAAAGTTGTAAACTCTAAATAAATTAATTAATAGAGAAATAAGTATATTTATATAAAATTATAATAAAATAGTATATATTTCTAAATAATACTGTTAGATTTATATTCATATTTATAGTATATGTTAATTTTTATATTTTGATATTAAAATAATCCGATGATAACAAAACAGTGATAGATAAAGTTGACTAACAATAACAATATACCGTAAAATTTGTAGGTTCTCAATAATATACTTAATAATAGTAAATAATTAATATATGAAACTATCATAAAATAGTATATAATTTATATATTTCTCAATAATATTGATATATGCAATATTTCATAATATATATTATTTTTTATTTTTTATTAAAATAATGAATCATACTCCGGTATATAAATTTAATTATAGTTAAATTTTAAATATTATTATTTTAAAATTTTCAATATATTTCAATTGGAAATTTTATGTTTAAAAGTATAAAATTATTTTTATTATAAAAATAAAGTTTTATATTATTAAATAAAATAATTTAGTTATATATAATTTTATATATATATTATAAATGCAAATTTTTTACAAAAAAAAATCCATATGAGAGTATTGAGCAAACCATTTAAGAGCATTAACATATTGAAAATGGTTGTCAATAACTGCTGACTGGATAATAAAGAACATAATGTCTTTGTAAATGTTTTATCTATGTAAATGTTTTTTCTATTGAGTCTTATGTAATTACAATGGGTAGTAGTTACAGCATTTCAACTCTTGATTGGCTACTCAAATGTAAGGCTGCATTCAAGGGACCAGTCGGGCTTTGGTATAGCTTCAATCGGGTTTCATGTTTTCGGATTTATGAATTTTAGTATGTTTCAGATATTATAAAAATTTGGTTTGGATTCGGTTTAGGTTTAGTCGAATTTGGTTCAAATTTAGTAACATTTCCAAAACCAAATAAAGATATAGTGAAACAAAGAATCAAAAATTGAAAGTGAAAAAGGAGAAATGTCTCTTGTCATGATTCTTTTTGGTTCTACTGTAATTTTCCACAAGTGAATTAGACGTAAATACAATGAAATCCAAGAACAAAACTGAAAAACTATGTGCAAACACATCATATCCACTGAACCTAAGGCGAAAACAAATTGAACACGATAAACTTGACTATAGAGAAGAAGAAAGAGCACCACAAAACCCAAAATATGTTGAACTATATTTGAGTTATTTTATTCATGTAATAAATACTTATTTTAGGTACTTAATGAAATTTTATTGTATTTTGGGTATTTATCCAGGCTTGAGTTCATATTTGGTATCAGTATTTTTCTGAAATTTTAATTTTTTGGTTATCTAATCGGTTAAAATTCATAACCTAAAATACCATAAAAAAATCTTATTCGATATATATGTCGGATTCAGTTTGGATTCATTTATATTGGCGGGATTCGGTTTGGATTTTTGGATTTGTTATATTTGACACCCCTACTCAAATGTCAGCAAGTGAAAGACACTTTTGTAGTTTGTAAAAAAAAAAATCACATAAAGAAAACGACAATTATAAAGAAACACTAGCATTTTTTTTACAACTTTTGCGAGTCTAAAAGGAATAACCGAGCTAATGCTAGAGGCAAGAACACATTCCAGTTTTGGACATAAAAGTCTTGAACGATTTGTGGACCATCTTTTTAAGCATGGGTAAATGCAGAGCTTCAGTAGAGAAGTATGAGGATTCGATTAATCAACCAAACCTAAAGCAAGTTATTACAAACAATGCAAGTAGATTTATATAAACGTCCACACAAGATGATTTCAGTCGAATTACCTAAACCAAGAACAAATTTAGTTAGGACCAGCTGGTTTTTGTATATACCGAACTGAATCCATAAAACAAAAAAAAAGATTCCAACACTATATTAAGAAGATGCATCATCAAACATTGGCGTTTCCTCTTCTTTGGACTGGCTTGTATATCACCACAGTGACATACTTCGACCTGAACCGATGAGAGAAGCCGAGTGCTACAACGGATCTTGGGGCGTCTCGGTTTTCGATATAGAGATGGTTCAGGACGACACTCTGTGGCGCAGAAGGCAATTCCATGCTCCCTGTATGGCCTAACAGAGAGTGTTGAAGATGTGGCGGTACAGCAGGAGGATCTCTTGTCTCGTCTTCGGTTGCGGAATATACATTGTTGTAACTTGAAACCGGCGATACAGGTACTTCAAATCCAGCAACCGTTGTGTCCTCCTTAAGTTTGAGAAGAAGATCAAAGAACAATATTTAGGGAGACTAGAAATCCACTAAGTTTTTTTGAGATTAAAATAACTAAATTTAAGAACTTGCTTACATGATCATAATCAGGATGTTGGTTGTTCATGTTGAAAAAGATTACCACCTAGTGCCTGAAACAAATACAATCATAAAATTATAAATGCGATGAAGCAAAGTTAGCGTAAGAATACATTGTAGGTACATTTCTACAACTGTATTAAAGAAAATTACTAAAGTAAAAAAGAAAAAAATGATGCAAACTCTTATCTGTGTGCAGCGTAAGACTTGGCCTAGTTGGTAAAAGCTAGTCAATGGTTCCTAAAACAAAAGACTTTCAAGAAAGTTGGACCAGAGAATGTACAATCCTTTCTTCGAAGTTAGCACTAAGCTGGACCTAAAGATCTAAGAACTAATAAACCACAAGGAGTTCAGAAATGAAAAAGAACATATTGATCATTACCACAACCAGAAAAAAGTTTGCATTGGATAATAGCCAGTATATTCCCTTGGAACTTGAAAGAACTAAACTACGCAACTATTAGAACATTCCTTGCACGGTTATACCTGACTAATGTAACGACACACATTACAAGTTACTCACCAAAGGCTAAAGGAGCACCCAATATATAAGGCCTAAGTCCTAAACCCAGAGGGTGAAAATCCCAACAAATCAACTGAACAATAGAAATAGAAATAAACTGAGCACACTTAGAACTCAAATCATTAGACAAACCGAAACACACAAAAACAGAGGCTAAAATTGTTCTAGAACTAAATTATTCGGAAAAGAACTCACCTTTACGGAAAATCTTCACAAAATCGTTGAAACCCACCTGCGAAAATCAAATGATAATACAAGAAACAAAGAGAACATCAAAACCCTAGAAATCAAGTTGGGACTTTTCTGAGCTGAACTGAGCAAAAGATGGAACTTTGTAACAATGGGTACTCGATATTAACGGAGATTTCGTAATTAAACGGATAAATTTGGGAGGTAATTGGAGAACGACGGAGGAAACGAGGCAGCGAAGAGAGAAGAAAAGTAAAGAGGGTTTAATTACTCTTATGTTATATTGATTGCTGAATGCTTTGATTAATAGAGGTTGAAGGAGATTGCTTTCGTCCTCAGATCTTCGGAACGGTCGTGATGACGAACAGAGACTGCGACAAACATCAGCTTGTGTTGTGTTCTTATTGGCTCAACTGTTGCTTTACTCTGAAAACTTGTTCTTTCGTCTGAATACATTTTTTTCCTTCTTCCAGCCATACCATTTTACTCTTTTAACTTCCCAATAAATTAATTATTTAAAAAGTTACACATAAGGAAAAATCCCACTAGAATAAGTTAGTCTTTCTTTAGAATAAATTAGGTGTTGATCCGCGCCCAGTGTAGGATGAGTGACGAAAATAAATTATTACTAAAATGTGTAAGATAATATAATATAAACTTCCCAATAAATTAATTATTTTTAAATTACACATAAGGAAATATCCCAGTAGAATAAATTAGAGAGTATTTGCTGGTACATCTTAAATGGACCTCCTAATTAGTACATTATCCATGATGCGACCATTACAAATAATGACCAGGATGTCTTTTGTTTCTCTCTCTGCCTATACTCGTAGGTGTGTTTGTTTCTCTGTGTAATTCAGCTACTCTATAGTCACTCCTACATGTATCAGCTATTCTACACCCATTTGTATCAACTAATACAATTTTTTTTCCTTTACTATATTCTTGTTTCTAATTTTATGAAGATATCATGTTAATACACTCTATTTTCTGTGTAAAAAAATTATTGTTACGAAGACAACCTATTACTATTTTACTATTATTCCTATGAATCAAAATAATTTTAATTACACCACATCCTAAAAAAAATCAGCATTAAGATATTTTTAAAATCGCCAAAGATGTTAATATTGGTGTTAGCTATTAACTAATAATGTAGATGTTAACGTATGTGTTAACTGTTAACAAATACATTTACCAGATGTATTAACAGATTCAATAACTGTTAACAAATTTTGTAGATGTTAACAGTTGTGTTAGCTGGTAACAAATACATGTACTATAAGTGTTAATAATAGAGGGGTTAGTTGTTAACAAATTTGTAGATGGCAATACATACGTTAGATATTATGGGGTTAACAAATAAATATTGTTGAAGTTTTAATTTCTCTATCGAACTGAGTTAATTTAAAAAGAAGAGAGAATGAAATGTTATATAAAAATTGCAAAATGAAGAACATGTTAAAAAGGAACTATAAAAAGTAAAAAAAAATGGGAAAAAAAGAAGAATGTGTTATTCTTAAGGAAAAATGGAAAAAAAAAGAACATGTAAGAGAAGAGAGAGAATGTTAGAGAATGTAAGTTCGACTCGCACAACCCGCAGACTTATAAATTTACACCGCACTCGTCCTACTTAATTTTGCGGGCAACCCGCGGGTTATATATATATATATATTTTAAAAATAATTATTTAATTTAATTTTTAATCAAAATGTAATAAGATAATATATTTATAATAAACTTATATATTTTAAAAAGTTTTCATTATTATTTTTTTTAAAATACCATATTTTTTAAAAAAATATTTATTTTTCCAAAAAAATACTGAAATAAAAAAATTTGCAGGTTGGGTCCCGCGATTCAAAATCCACCAACCCGCACCCGCCCCGCATAAAATACTCATAACCCGCACCCGTACCCACCAATCGATTTTCTCAAATTGTTTAATCTGCACCCGCCCCGCAGCGGGTCAAACGGGGCGAGACCCGAATGTGATGACTCATATTCCCAGCTCTAAAAATGAGTGAGAGAGTGTTAGAGAGAAAAAAAAAAAGAGAATTGGTGAGAGAAGAAAGACAAACCCAATTCTCTCCAGAGCCATTTTGGGGAATACCAGCTGTAATTGTATTTTTGGACTTATAATGTCAATCAATGAATAAAGCTCTAATTTGGACTTCAAATATAGGTATTACACTAAATCACTCAATAAATTATTCTTTTTTTTAGAATAAATTATTCTTATTGGTTGTTTCTGTTTCTTCTATGCATATCTAAATTATATTTTGTGATATTTAATGGTAAACTATGTCTTTTTATTAATTTTAGATATCCTAGGCATATTAAATGGTACATACTAATCATCAAGAGAAAAATATAGTTCTCATAGATCTTTTCTTATGTATTCAATTGGAAAAAATTTTCATTTAAACCACCAATTTTTAAATTTAGTTGAAATAAAACACAAATCTTCTCATAAGCCAAAAAAACACTCAACTTTTATTGATAAGCCATTTTAATCACAAACTTTCGTCAACCATACCAATTTAGTCATATCGTGATTTAACAGTTATAGTTGACTAACCGTAAGCCTAAAATAACTTTTAAAGTTGATTTTTGTTTGGCACAAATATAAATCAACATTTTTCAAAATATTGGATTTTAAATATTGAAACTTCTAATACCTATAACACTAATAAATACAAATGTAAATAAAAATTAATTCCAACCAAAAATATAAACAGAAATCATTGTAAAATAATTAATTAACATATCCTTAATTGAGTATTTTAGTTAAAAATGACTAAGAGAATTTTTTTAATTATTTAAAATTAATTTTTAAAAAAATATTTATGTAATCCTACTCGGATTTTATAATTTTACTGTCAAAAATTTATTAGTTTAATATTACTTCAATTCTTGCTTTTTTAAACAAAAAGAGTTATTGGATAACAAAAAGTTATCGATTTAGGTGAAACTTATTTTCTTTAAATATATAAAAACTCTTGTAAACATTTTATAGAAATTATATAGATTTGTTTGAAGATCTTCATTATAAAGATAAAGAATCATGAAGAACTCATTAACCGATAACTCTTTTCATTTAAGAATCAAGAGTTGAATTAATATTTCATCAACAAACTTTTGAAAATAAAATTATAGAACATAATTAAAAATAGGATTATATAAATATTAACAAAAATTAATTGTAATAATTAAAATATTCTTATCATTTTATAACTAAGATACTCAATTAATGATATGTTAACTAATTTTTTTAAATTGAATTCTATTTATATTATATTTTTATTATAATTTTTTTAATTTTATTTACTGCTTCAGTTATAAAAATATTTAAAATATATCCAATATTGTAAAAATATTGTTCAATATTTGTGCCAAAAAACATAACTTTGAAAGCTATTTTAGGCCTACTGTTAGTTAACTATAACGGTTGACTAACGATATGACTAAATTGGTATGGTTGACGAAAGTTTGTGATTAAAATGGCTTGTCCACAAAAGTTGGGTTTTTTTTTTTGGCTTGCAAAAAAGTTGGTGATTTATTTCAATCAAATTTAAAAGTTGTTGATTTATATGATAATTTTCCCGTATTTAAATATACCATAAACAATGAATTTTTTTTTTATCAGACACCCATCTAAATTTAGATCTAAGTGATGGTTAGGTGATCCGGTCCTTTGAAGAGTACCCCCATCTATTTGAGTCTGATCTATATGAGAAAAGGTATAGCATTTATTCCTTGCTTTGCTAATGAATCTATATCCACGTTGTCACACGAAGGAGTAACAATCATCAAGAACCATATGTTCGTCTCCAAGCAGAATACAAGCACAAACTTAAAGATATAAAAGGCAATCCATTCCAATTGTGATAATACAAAGTGAGGAAGGAGAACTTTTGGGGAAGATTAGAAGGATTCCATGGTTAGCAATGATAAACAGTGACGAAAGTAAAAATGGAAGGATGGAAGGTGAAAATATAGGATTGATGGCTTCCTGTGAGTTATTGAAACATGTGACTTTAGTGACCTAAGATCTCCATTGGTGATAGGTTCTCTTGGACGGGAAACATTACTCACATGATATAGTATGTTGTCTCAACAGAGTTATGGCCAATTCTGAAGGGATGACCTTATATATATCGGTCCAAACTCAGAAGAATATGGCAGTATTTGAATGTGTATTAAGAATAGAAAAGACCATTTAGATATGACAATAGATTTTTTAGAAAAGAAGGAATTAAATATGAGTTTTACAGAGATGAAGTGAATCTGATTCAGATTACATTCCCTTAAAGTGAAAGATTCATTGCCTAGAAAGTTAAAGGCAATTTGAAAAATGAATAATCAGAAAATTACACCACAAAGATCTAAACACAAGTTTAGTCTAAATCATACTATCTGCCATGGGACCTATTGTACTTCATAAATCAACAGGATCCTGACGGACCTTCAACAAAAATAAGAGCAATTTTTACAACACCAAGAACAATTGTCTCAAATTTGGTGATGACGCTAACAAACGACGTCTTACATGGATCATTGTAATCAAAGATTTTACAGTTATTACAGCCATTGTGTTTTGATGATCCAAGAAAATGTAACTCCAACAGTTTTTAGTTAGTCTGGAAAAAATCATGCAACCGTGTACATAGATCTTTAGACACCAGTTTGAAATGTAGACAAGATTGTGTGAATGTGTATTCATAAATGCAAAGACAAATGTTTGACTTTCAATGCAATTTCAAAAACTCACGGACTTCGCTATTTCTTCTGACTTTCTCGACCCCATAAAACACTTTTTCACCCTTCTCTATCCACATAAAAAAAAATCCAAAATTGATTAATAAAATTTCCTTCTTCCCAACTAAAAAAATCTCCAAAGTGCCAGCCATTTTGCCTCTGTCATCTCCTACTTACTCTCTTCTCTTTTGTTTCCAGCCATTGATCACGAGTCCATTTATGAAACCAAACACTAAACGCATGATATCTCCCATCAGTTATATATATTCCTCACATATCTTATACCACTCTCTCAAGAAGCAAAATGTTTAACACAAAATTTCATATTGTCCTTATCACTTTAAACCTTGTATTCGTATATGCTGGAGGGCGTTTAATACCACCGGGTAGTGTTACAGTCAAATTGAATCCGAAGAATCAGATTTTCCGTGGGACAGAAGTAAAGAGTTGTATGCCTAAGGGGTTCCGACCGAGATCCGGTCCGAGCCGGTTTGTAAATTATCAGCCTCTTGTTTCTGTTAAGTGTTCCTTCTCCAAAGTTACTTCCCGGTTCAAGAATTCACCTTAAGTAATAACATTGTCTATTGACAATTATTTCATTATGCAACGAAGGATGATGTGTTCACTTCTTTTTTGTTAACAAAAAGAATGATGTGTCGATTCTTTTGTTGTC